AAAAGAGCAAAAACTGGTACGAAAGATCTTTCATTCTAGAAATTTTTTTTCGGGAAAAGTTAAGCTTCTGTAACTACCGAGATATTTTTTACAATCATAGCATATATATATATAAATGTTTTTTTTTTCAAGAAAAAGTAGATATTGTTGAATAGTTTGAAAAAGAGAATAGATTTACTTCCCACAAAAACTATTAAAAACTGACATGGTTTTGCAACCAGCTCTTCTTCTTTTCAGTCTCGCTTTCACCCACGCCACATTGCCAAAGACACCCGTTCATAGGGTGGGCCACATTCACACATCACAGAGGACAACACACAGAGAGAAACATCTATGCCCTGGGCGGGATTCGAACCCGCAGGCATTGGCTTTACAGTCAGGCACGCTAAGCGCTCTACAGCCTGGCCTGCTGTGTTTTTTGCAATCGTATATTGCAGAAACCGGGATAGTCTGGCTGGGCCGATGTCTAAGAGTTCGTGGGTTCGATCCTCGCCTCCCGAAGACTCCCCGTGTATTAAATGGTGACTGATCTATGTTAAATCTGTCGAGTCGCAAAGTCCTCCATGTTCCCAACAAATCAATACCTCAGGGGGTACTGATCCAGGAGTTTCCTTGTCTTTTGGATTGGTTTAAAATTACAAGGCTACGGAGTAAAACATTAGGAGTCGTAAACCCAAAAACTGAGTCAGCTGTTCTACGACGGATATAAAAATATAAAATGAAATTGTATATTGCAGAGCCGTGATGGCTCAGGGGCGCATTCCAATAAAATGAACTGTGTTCGAATCTCAGAAATGGCTGGTCGGTGCGAATTCCGCATTGCACCGACCATAGTGCTGACGTGAAATATCTTCAGTGGTAGACGGATCACAGGTTTTAGTCCCATTGCCGTCAGGCTAACCGTGGGAGGTTCTCGTTGTTTTTCTCTCCTTGTAACGCAAATGCGGGTTAGTTCATTACCTTCTAGAGAGGGATCAAGCCTTACAAAGGGTTACTCTAAACCGTGATGACGTAGTGGAGTTAGACCCAGAGTGAAACCAGTCAGGGTAGCTATTTTCTCCGAATCTGATGAAACGAGCTATTGGCGATATTCTGAAGTATTGTAACTTGTGTATTGGTCATTAACAGCATTCAGTCATTTGGCGAGCATTTTTGATTGGAATTTGTATGCAACGGTGTTCTGATGTCAATGTGCTTCGTAAAATATATATTTATTCAACAAATGTTTTAAATTTCAGCCTTAAATTAATTCTTAGTGTTATGAATAGTGGTATGTAAGTACTGTGTACCTAACTGCTGAGGAAATTATGAAGTTGATGGTACGAAAGCATTAGTTTTTGGATTTCCCAAAAAGGAAGAACTACATAAGAAATGGCTTGCCGCCATACCAAGAGATTTTGAAGTTAGAAAGAATTCCAATGAAAGTAATATTTGTTTTTAATTTTAAAAATCCCTTGCGCAATTTCGTATTTAAATTAGTTATGATTCTCATTTTAGAATTTAGTTATGATTCTTTATTATATTTTTATTTCGAGTAAATTATTTTTAATTGTGGATAAATTTATTTTTATAATTAAGTTGTTCTTAAAAATCATATCGTAATAAATTTTGTGTGGATAAAATAACTATANGAAATATATATATATATATATTAAAATAAATAAAACCATGCATATATATATATGGATGGATAGATAAATGTAAATATGATTTATGTATGTTATGTATTTATATAATAGTTATGAGCAGAAATGTATTATTTTAATTAAAATATGCCGAAAATATTTTTAAAGGAAAAGCATTAACATTCTGCTTTAAATTTGATTATTTAAGAAATAAAATTTTATTCACAAGCTAAAATTAAAAATAAACAGTGAAAATACTGAGAATCAAGGGACAAAAGAAGGTAATTGAAATATGAAATGTGTTGAGTCATTTTCTTAATTTTATTATTATCTTTCTAATAATGTAATTGTAGACTGTTCTTAAATTGAAATAAGTAAGTTACTTATAATTATGAAGGAGTGTAAATAATTAAGGAAAGAGTTATTAATTACTTTTTTAATTATTTTATTTTATAAAAATATTAATTTTTGCATTTATCAAATTTTTACTCAAACTTTAAACATTTTTGCTTGAACGTAATATACTGTAACTGCTTAGGGCAAATTTTTTTTTTATCTGATTATGAAATTTTCCTAAAAACCTATTAATTTTTCATTTACATAACTTGTTTAAAAATAATGAAAAACACATATGAAAGTTGATGTACATTTTATTTATCATTTTTTGAATTTGCTGTTTAATAAAATATTTGCTTAGTCAGTATATACAGTACCTGGCCAAATTATTACACGCACTTTGATATTCTATGTAAAATCTTAATTATCAGGTGATACAATACAGCTTTATTGTCTTTATGTGACTAAAACCGGTTTGCACTTGTTTACGTTCGTGTATCAATGGGTTAAATTAGACGATATATAATAGAAATTTGACGATAGGATAAATTAGACGATATATTATATAAATATAGAATATTTATTATATCAAGCATTATATTAGTATATTATAATAATTAGACCAAATTATTAGACTCGCTGTAGTTATTTAATAATGACATGATTTGCACGAGTTTATATGCAATAATTTTGTATTCAAACATACATGTAATGGGGTTTTTTTCGGGAGATTTTTTATATACTTGTATACTTCCTATTTGTATTTATTTTCAACGTTTTGCGTAACAATGTTAACCAATTGATACAGGAGTGTAAACAAATGCAAACCGGTTTCATCAGAGTAAAAACAATACAACTGTATAGTTATTACCTGATAATTATAATTTGACAGAGAATCTTATAGTGTGTCTAATCATACGGCAGGGAACTGTATATCTCAAAAGTTCTCTTAAATTTAATTTAATCTTTTCCGTTTCTAGCCATATCTGGAACTGTAAATGAGAATCTCAAAACTTTTTAACCTTGTTTTAAAATGTTCAATTTTAAATGACTAATCAGAAAACTGAAGTAAAATCGACTGAAAATTTTATTTTCTATAGAAGTATGCAATTGATTCTGTTAAAATTTCAGATTTTGGTATTTAAAATTCAGATTTTGTCATTTAAAATTAAACAGTTTAGAATATAATAAATGTTTGTGTCCCTTTAATATTCTAAACTTTTTCGACAAAAATTATTGATAAACAAATAAAAAAATTTTCGAGAACATATTTCGATTACATGATTTGACTTACGAGTTTTGTAATTTTTCTGCAGAAAGCTGTTGATTTGCTTTGACTTAATAATCATTTCAGAGATGCGGCAAACTACGCAAAAACTGAAATTATCCTTAGTAGTAAACTTTCGAATTTCTCATCCATTTTATTGAGAAAAAAAAACAAGTCTTTAATTATTTAAGAAAATCTTTTGCAATGCATTATTTTATAATATAGTTTATAATTTTATAACTTTTATTTAAAAAAAAATCACGTTTTTTTAAATTGTTTTATTTAAGCGTTACACTTATTTTAATTTTTCAACCATTTTATTAAAGTAAGACAAGCCTTGAACTGTGTAACAAATACTCTTGCGATGCGTTATTTATTATTTAATAACAGCTCTTAAAAATCACGATTTCTTAACTGTTGTTTTATTTTAAACACCACAACAATTCTTTTAATTTCTCAACCATTTTATTAAGATAAGCGAGCTGCGAATGAACGACGTAACACAGTAACGAACACAGTAATGTACACAGTAACGAACTGTGTAACAAAATCTTTTGCAATGCATTATTTTATACAGTCCTTAAAAAAATCGAGATTCATTAACTGTTGTTTTGTTTATGTATTACACTTATTCAATACCTCTGGGGGTACTGGATTGGAGATCGATCGTTCTCTGATTCAGGTCAAAATTACGATCTGTGGATGAATGAATGGATGTATGAACAGGTCCGCCATATAAACGGGCTGTGACGTGTGTGTGGCTGAAGACGAATTCTTGGCCATAGGTGGCACCACTGAAGAGCAAGAAACGCACCCTCTGCCTTAAATTTGCTCGGTTTCACCAAGCAGGCTTGCTAGTGTGGAAAGTGGGCTTAGAAACAACAACTTCTTTTAATTTTTGAACCTTTTAATTAAAATAAAACAATCCTGTAATTATGTTTTAAAATCTCTCCCAATGCTTTTTTGCATACAAATCTTAAAAGAAGAAGAAAAAACATAAACTGATTGAATAAAAATTTGCACTTTTTGCAATTTCCCAACAGTTTTATTCCCATAAAAAAGCCTTTAAATATGTAAGAAAACCCCTTTCAATATCTCAACGCTATTTGCGTTTTCATTAACAACAATTTTTTAAATTTTTTAACCATTTTATTGAGATAAACGAGCTGCGTAACACAGTAACGAACACAGTAATGAACACACTAACAAAACTGTGTAACAAAATCTTTTGCAATGCATTATTTTATACAGTTCTTAATAAAAATCGCGATTCATTAACTGTTGTTTTGTTTAAGTATCACACTTCTGTTAATTTCTGAACTATTTCATTAAAATAAAACCTGTGTTTCAAAATTTGTAGTAATGCATTATTATATATACATCTCTTTAAAAAAATCGTAAACTGATCGAATAAAAAAATTGCACTTTTTGCAATTTCCCAACGGTTTTATTCACATAAAACAAGCCTTTAAATATGTAAGAAAACCTCTTTCAATATCTCAACGCTATTTGCGTTTTCAATACAATATTTAAATATTGAATCAGTCGCCTCAAAATTGAAGAACAGAAAAAACTTTTTTTCCCGTCAGCGCAAAATGAATAGGAAAAAAAAAATCAACTTCCAATATTAGGCTTCCCCCATCATTTTTATTGATACGAAAACAATAGATTGAAAAGAGGGGGGAAAGTGGGAGCATTGGGTGGATAATCCTTTATGTAGCTACCCGGATGATGGAATCATGGGATGGGTGCAAGGCATGATGGGAGCTTTTCCCAATCCAATATGGCAGCTTGCCATATGACGACTTTTTCGATCACCGAAACCATGTGCTTGTGGTGTTCCAAAACAAGGATCAACAAAACATGACGTATGTCTTAAGAATGTATCTTATAAGATATAATTTTGGAACAATGAGTATATTTTATAGTATTTGATACTCATTTAACAGCATGAAGAAGTATTTTTACAGTATATTTACTATAAATAAGCATTCTAGGGTGCAAAAAGATGACGTGAATATCAATTCAAAAGGTAAAAATTACTATTTTAAAAATGAAATTTTCAATAAGTGTTAACTTACAGCGAAGATAATATATTAAATGGCGCGCAATGGATTTTCGTGAATTGATAATATAAACATTAAATTAAATCTAGTTTAAATGTAGAATGTTTCTAGAAATAAAAAGAAATATTAATTTGTGCAGGCTTCATGTCTACTTGTATTAGAGAGTAGCTTTTTAAAGGTGTTTACATATGAAGTAAAGAGATGCATATAAATGCATATTTTTTTAAAAAAACTTTCAATAATATTACTTTTTTAATTGCAATATTGTTGAAGGGCAAACTTTTCTGTATACAAAAGGCATAACTACAGTAATAAATGATAGTAAAATATAAAACACTATTCTCAAACTTTTATTGTTTATAGATAATATTTTTTGCATAATAAAAAAAATTTAACCATATCTTTAAAGTTTAGTTTATGTTATGTTTATGTTTTTATCATACTATTAGTAATGATAAAAATTACACTAGTTTTAGTTTTCATAAAATAAATGTACATTTGATATAAGAGATTAATTCAAACAGCTGAGTTGTTCTATTATTAGTAATAAACTTAACATTGTAACATTAAAACAAACACTAGATACTCATAAACTGCATTATAATGCTACATATAAACTACAAGATAATGGTGCGTAGCGTTTTTAAAAAGTGCTTAAAGGTGCTTATTTCCGATTTTTGTTTTTTAAAAGCCCTTAAAGGGGCTTTTTTCATTGGGTGTTTATAAAAAGTGCTTCATTTTCCATTTTCGAAAAGATTTTTTTCTTTACCATGTCTATTTTCGCCACGTATTATGCAAAAATGTGCTTTTCGCATTGTTCTATTCCATGTTTTTACCACATTCAACGACAATTCATTTCGGCTTATCGTCTGTCGGTAGCATATAATCGCTACCGCGCTAATCGTTTTACATGTTTGATTAAATACTTGCGAGGCCGCATGTGAGTCTACTGAGCTGGGTTCGATGTGATTCTTGCTTTCTCATGTGCAACTCTGCTGTATTTTGCAAGATATTCTCAATTTCAGGATTCATTTTCCACCCTCTGATATCGAACCAAAAAAATCTCTTGATATATTTACAATAGCTTATAAAATAAATTAAAAAGAGTTATTTGTCAGAAACTAGTTATTTTATTATAATCATGTAAAGTCTTTGAAAATTATTTTGCATTTTATTAATGTATATAGTGCTTAAAAATATTTTTGAGTACTTAAAAAGTACTTAAAATGTGCTTATTTTTTGTTGAAAGATTTGGCTACACGCTCCGTAATATGTTAATCTTTTGTAATAAAACTACTACTAGATAATATTATAAAATGACATAAAATTTGTATACACTTTTTTGGATCATTTCCTAATAAATATCGATCAAATATAGAGAGTTAAAAACCAAGCTTGGGAAATCAGTTCAAGCATTTTAACACTGAAATATTTTATTTTTTTATAATTAAAAAAAAATACAAAGCATGTAAAATTGTAAGTAATGGTTTCCGGAAATAATATTAATTATTTAGAAAAATCTTAACCGTAGTTTTAAAAAACTTAATATATTCACGAAAACAGATTAATTTAATAGTTATAAATATTTGATTTTCTAGTTATGAATATTTTTTAGTTAATAGTTATAAAAATTTTTCTATAAATTAAAAGGAAAACTTAGCAAATTATGTAAAAATTATTTAAAACATTCGTCTCAAAAATATTAAAAACGTTTAATTTATGTATTTATATATATTTATCTAACTTATAATTTTGAGGAATTTAGTTATTGCTTTGCAGTACTTATAATTAGTGTAAATACCATAACAAAGTAACATTTGAAATTTTTTGCTTTTAATAATTGATATTTCTAAATTTTTTCAACCTAGTAATAGATTTTTTTTACATCTGTATATGCATTTTGTTAATTTAAATAATTTTTAAACATCAAATAAAAAATTTTTTTTTCATAGAATAATTTTTTTTTTAGTAGTAACATTTTTTAGTATAAATCTTTATATTATTTTGCCCTTAAAAGAATGATGTACTACTTTATAAAAATGAGAAAGAAAAATTATCAACAATAGTTCAATTTGCATATTATAAATATATATTTATTTACTGCAATTTAATTACTTCAGTAACTTTTTTCGAAAAAAAAATCGTCGTACTCAGATTTGAGTTTCTTATTAAATCAATAATTTAAAAATAGCAAAAACAACACTAATGTTTATTTCAATGCAATGTTTGGAAAAAATGGTTTTAAAGTGTTAAGTTGCGGCTGTAAGGAGATTCGTAAAAATTTACTCTAATTATTTGCATAATATTTGCATAATATTTAGGAAAACACTGTTTTGGAAGAGATAAAATCAGTGAAAATTAATGAACACCAGATATCAACACTATCCATACAAACATTTAAAAAAATAATAATTATGGTTGAATTGAAAACAAAAATAAACAGAAAAAAACCACTACTGTTGACATGAAAGTAAACAATATATATACAATCGGACTTCTATTCAACGAACTTGCATTTAGCGAATTTCTCAATTTTGCGATTTTTTTTCGAGGAACTAAGAACATTTTGGAAATTTCATCGTAAAATAATTTCCAAATAACGAAGTGAATTTTCTATTTAACGATTTTTTCTTTGAAATCCACTTTTCTTATTTCCCAAAACATTTCAGAACATTTCAAACTTGTTAACGCATTTCATGGGGGGAATTGATTTTCAAAGCCACTTAAATTTAAAAAAAAGTAGTAAAATTTTTTTCCCTTTTTGTTTACATTTCAAAGGAAAAATTCAGTTAAAACTAACGGATTTAATCAGTAGTAATTAAAATTATGAACACGTGTGGTAATGTATATTTAAAATTACTTTTATAATACATGCAGCTATAATTTTATACATAAATTTAGCTTTCTTTTAGTTGAAAATGTATGTAGCATGATAATGTAACACTGGATAATGTTTTGCTCTATTTTTGCTATCCATGCAGATTTCTTTCCTGGTTAAGATAGATAAAATAAATAGTTGATACCAGTTTACAAGATAAAGGTTTATCAATTGTTATTTTAATTATATTCAGTGTTTATGAATTTAAAATCTGTTTTGTGCTGTTTAAGTTTTTCAAAAGGTGATTTTCTATTTAACGAATTTTCCATACAACGAACTTATTATCGTGATTTAGTGACTTCGTTAAATAGAGGTCCGACATATATATAATGTATGAATGTATGTATGTTGAAATAATAATTTAATAATTCCTGTAACTTTATCTTGCAATGCCCTTTCGTTTATAAAATTTAAAAGCAATGAAAACTTAAAATAATTTATGTTTAAAAAATAAAGTCTGCAAGCTTAGGATGCAAAGCCCTGTCACTAATAAAATTTTTCATTGATAAAATTTAAAAAAAAGCAGCAATTAAAAAAAATAGTTTAAAAAACTTTTGCTGTAAACTTAGGATGCAATATTAACTAAATTTGTAATTAATGAAATTAAAAAGAAATGTAGACTTAAATTTAATGCATGAAGAAAAAAGAAATCCTTTAATTAGAAATGTCTCTAAAAAAAAAGGTAATTATTGGAACAATTATAGAGAGAGTTTGATGCTTTCGTTTTGCTTTGCACATGTAGTTTGCTGCCCTAGTAAAAGTGGTTTCTCTACTTGAAGCCTTAGTGTGAGGTGAAACTAAATTATAGGGTTTCAAGCACCTTCAAGCACCATAGGGTAAACTAGTTGTGCTCATAAACAGTTTAATCAAATACGAATGAAATATTTGTGATAAATTAAGTTTATGGATTTATTTCTCAATTTTCCATTTATGACACCATTTAGAATCGTATATAAATAATATTGATATTTATAAAATTGGTAGTTTATAGGAAATTTTAAAACTGATTTTGTTTTCTTGTTATTTGCAAAACGCAGTTTAAAAAAATCATAAAATATTGACCTTAAAATGTAAGAGACTACATTACATTTCATAAAAAAAAATATTTGCTGTATGCAATATATAAATTTATATTACAATTTTGTACAATTGTTTAGATTTAGGAAACATGAATACAGTCTGACCTCTGTTTAACGAAGTCGCTAAATCTCGATAATAAGTTCGTTGTATGGAAAATTCGTTAAATGGAAAATCACCTTTTTAAATACTTTAACAACATAAAACAGGTTTTGAATTCATAAACACTAGATATAATTAAAATAACAATTGATACAACTTTATCTTGTAAACTAGTATCAAATATTTATTTTATCTATCTTATCCACAAAGGAAATCTGCATGGAAAGCAAGAATAGAGCAAAACATTATCCAGTGTTACATTATCATGCTACATACGTTTTCAACTAAAAAAAAGCTAAATTTATGTATAAACTTATAGCTGCATTTATTATAAAAGTAATTTTAAACATTCATTACCACATGCGTCCATAAGTTTAATTAATACTGATAAAATCCGTTAGTTTTAACTGAGTTTTTCCTTTGAAATGGAAACAAAATGGGAAAAAGATTTTACTGCTTTCTTATAAAGTAAAGTGGCTTCGAAAATCAATTCAAGGTCATTTCCCCCATAAAATGCGTTATCAAGTTTGAAATGTTCTGAAATATTTAGGAAAATAGGGAAAAAGTGGTTTTCAAAGAAAAGTTCGTTAAATAGAAATTCACTTCGCTATTTGGAAGTTATTTTCCAAGAAATTTTCAAAATGTTCTTGGTTCCTCGAAAAAAATTGCTAAATAGAGAAATTCGCTAATTGAAAGCTCGTTAAATAGAAGTCCGACTGTATTTAATTACGATAATAAATTTGCTTTACATTATACATTCATTATTATTTTTATTTGTTGATGAAAAGACTTTCGAAAAAATTGAAGAATTTTACAAAAGTTAATTTTAAAAAAACTATTCAGACTATCAAGTTTAAAATTTCTAATAAAATGATTTTTAAATTTTTTATTATTTTTGTGCATTTTTAA